CTGATGCCACAATTCTCCTCATAGAGCCCAGCCTCTCGGATAATCTGCTCTGCATACATGTTGAAAAGGTATGGAGACAGGATGCATCCCTGGCGTACCATGTTGAGGCTTTCATTTTAGTTGGACCTATAATCAACACTGATGGAAACACCAATCATGAAATGATGTATTCTGTTGATAAATCAGAGGCAAAAGACTTCTTAAAAGTGTTTAAAAGCAAAGATGTTGTGTATGGTCTAAGGTCTGACTAATCCAACCCATGATATATTCAATTGTTTCACATGTATATGAAAGCTGAGCAATGAGTGAGAAAGTCTTATAAATGAGACATTTGAGTCATGAAATATTGAATATTCTGTAGACTTCCAGAAGTATGAACAAATATATCTTGAAGGAAACTCTACTAGAATTCTTTCTATTATCAAGTGTTCTAAGACTTTCTCTCCTATACTTCAGACATATTTCCATGAAGTACCAACCTGACAAAGGACATCATACTTTACCAAAGAGAGTCAGGGTAGAGAAAGACCTTCCCAAAGATGAATAGCTCCCAAAGACCAGGTTACTATGCAGAAAAAAAAAGTTGGTTTTATTCTAAAGTAAAAGTTGACCGCAACAGATCACAGAATGGAGGAGACTTCAAGATTACATAATTTCCAATAGACATCAATATGTAATTTTCCAAATGTTATCATTATGTAACTGCCAAATCACTGAGAATCAGACCTACCAAGCTGATGCATTGCCATCACATACTAATGATCATGTTATTATTAATTTTATTTGTATAGAGAACTCTATATTCTAATATCTAGTGTGATAAGCATATACTTTGCCAGCCCAAAGGCAGGTGATTCAAGTCCAGCAGCTTCTCCTCTAGTGTGATTTGCAGTCTCTGAAAACCTGCTGGAGGGTTGATTTAAATTGATTTTCACTCTACAAAAATGAGTTTTGAGTATTATTTTTATAACACTAACATTAAATAATCTCACATTATTTACATAGCACTGACATTAAATAATATATTAAGTAAGAAGCTTTGTTAAAGCAAAAATATATTCAATATATTTTCTTTCTCTTATTTCCTCCCATTTTATTCCGTATCTCTTACTTTTCTGCATTATTAAGTTTACACAAATTCACCTCAACTGAGACTTTATAATGCCTGGGCAATGTTGATTTAATGCTTACTATTTTTTTTCCCTTTTAAGTTGTACACAAGAGACCTTGTTAAAACACTTTCCCTATAGTATATAGTTTGATCCTTATTAAATTCAGTAAGAATTTCTATTAGGGCTTTCAATAGGTTCTACATTTTTTTTCTATAATTATATTTTATTAATTTTCATAAACATTTACAGAGATTTTGGGTTTCCATTCATTCATTGTTGCATTATTCTCTCTACCCTCCTCCCAGTTTGTTCTTGTCCAAATGCCACAGTGCTTGTCAAAGCCAGTTCTGATTAATCTTCTTTGTCAGTGTGTCCTTTGCCATTCCCTATCACTCCTCCCTGAGAGAGACTTCACCCTGCGTCATAAGGAAAAGGGGATGGCGTATTCTCTTAGCTACTTCCTGCTGAAAAGGGACGCTGTGGGTTTCAGGGTGAAGATCTTCTCTCACTACTCTAAAGGGCCCCTTTGGCAGTAGGAAACTCATAGACTATTATGGAGATTGATTTTGGAATTTAGATGCACTCTTATTGATTGTGCTTGGCCGTACATGTTCATATCCTTGAAGATGTATCATGGGGGTGTTGTATAGGTTCTACATTTTAACATAAGAATCACCTGGAGAACTTAAGAAAATGAAAATTCTTATTCAGTATATCTAGAGTGGAAATACAAGTTCTCAGCAGAGTTTGAACCCAGAGCCGATCCAAAGTCCTGCTTTCTAGTATAGTTTTCGTTTTGTAGATGAGGCTCCAGAGGCTGAGGCCCTTACTTGCTCAAGATGATATAGCTAATAAGCAAGGGAGCTGAACCTTGAACACAGGCAGGCAGGCTTACGGCTCTTGTCAAACTTAGGACATTCATCCTCAGAACCTAGAAGCTGTCAGGGTTCTCAGCAGAAAATCACAGTATGGGAGATGCGGGCTTAGAAAGAAATTTTGGGGTTAGAGATTGGGTCAAAGGTAGAGCTTCTTGAAGATAGAATTGTCTCTCAAGTCCTCTCCCTCTGCATGGTCACATATTCGGTGATAATTTAGGTGTTCATTGACCAGAGCTTGTCTTCACCACCCAACCACAAGCCATCACTGATATTGATGTGTAGAGTCATTGTTGACATCAGACCTACATGAGATTCTTTGAAGTCTTATGACTGTGTTGGAGATACGGTGGTACATCTCTAGCTTTCTCATCATATTTTTTTTTAAATAGAATTTGAAAATATTTGCTAAAGAGGAGGTAGAGCCAGAGAGGGATGTAACTGTAAAGAGATTCCTTATTCTTTCTGAGCAGCAATTTTCCCATCTGAAAAATGTAGCTATTGGACAAGATCTCTATTTTTCTCCAAATTCAGTTGTTTGTACATGAAGTTCATGATTTCTGCCTTCTGCACCTTTTTTTTCCCTAGAGCCATTTCCAATCAACTTAGCTTGCTCAACTTAGACTTAGCCTAAACAGTGCCCTATGAAATCACAGGTTTTAGGCACTAATATTTTTCTGAAATACATTTGAACAAGTACTTAACCCACATTTCCGTTGAATTGGAACTGACTCATAGCGGACTCTCAAACAGGTTTTCCCAAGGCTATAGATCACAGGGGAGGAGATTGTCCAGTAGATTTGAGTTGTTAGGGAGTCACTGCCTTTATGTTAGCAATGCAGCTCCCTAAGGACTATACTACTAGAACTCCCAGTACTGAAGTATGAAATGGTAAATGTTTGCCTAGATGCTGAACATAATCTATTACTGTAAATCATCTTTGGTACCATGAGAAGTAAAAGCTTTGCCAGGAAATCTTTTTGTTTTCTTACCAGTCCTATGAGAACAACAGACAATTCAGGACATGGAGGACCTTGGCACAGAGAAAAAGTAGAGGAACTCAATGATCAGGATTTTGCTACTTCTGGTCCTGGGGAGAGTTGGAAAACTTTCTGTCTTTGATAGCCATCTTTGTCCCCCTCTCCAGGCAGCCATCCAGACAGCCCTAAGAACCGAAGAGCACTCCCTGGCTCTCAAACTCTATGAAGAAGCTGGCGACGTGTTCTTCAACGGGACCCGCAACAGGCACCGTGCAGTGGAGTATTACCGAGTGAGTCACGGGCTGGGCAATGCACTAACTGAGCAGGGTCACCCTGGTCTCGGCCTGGCATCTGCCTTTCTTTGCTCTTTTCTCCCTTTTTTAGTATTTCTTCCCCCTTCCCCCCTGCCTTTTCCTCATCCACATGCTCTCTTTCCTCATCTCTCAAGCAAGCCTTTAAGGAAGGTCTGACAAACTCAAGTCACGCTCAGTCTTAAGTCTTGATAAATTACCCTTGCTGGAATTTGTTGTTAGTTACCCCATCGTGATGATTTCATGCACAGTGGAATGAAACTCTGCCCTTTGCTAAGACATTCCCACGCTCGGTTTTAGATCTGACCACTGGGATCCTAAGGTTTTTATTGACTGACTGTGGGAAGATCACCAGGAATTTCTTCCAAGGCTCTCTTGGTCTGAAAGCTCACTGAAACTTGTTCTATACTGGCAAGCACACCTCCGCTGACTGTGGGGATTACCTCACAACTAGGACATACCTTGAGTGGACGGCATATGACGGGTGTTGGCACACTTTGAAGTCTTCTAGGTTGTTTTTTCTGGTACTACAGGTGGCATGAGAAATTATTTTAAGTAGTATATTGATTTGGAATCAGGAGTGGTATCCACTTTCACAATAGCTTGCCTCGGGAAACCCTATGAACCTAGAGAAAGGATGAAAGTTATACGGGAGGTATCCAGTACTTTCGTTCATAGGGTCGTTATGAGTCGCCTGCGACTCAACAACACTTAACAGCAACAACAACCACCACCACAATGGTATATTGATGAACATTTTTGTATTATGACATTTAAAATACAAAGTATACCTTAAAATATATTAGAAATTTTTGAAATTTATGCATTAAAATATATTGAAAAGATTAAAAGTAATAGTTCATCCAACCCTATTTCATGGATATGGTGGCCTAGTGAGTAAGGAGGTGCACCAAAGGCAGGTGCTTCGAGTCCACCAGGAGTAAAATGGATAATGTCCTCCTATGTGACTTAAAGTTGCTGAAAACCTTCTGAAGGGCGAGCAATGTGTCGGTTCTGACTCAATGGCATATAACAGCAACAACATTGCCAAAGATGACTCAAAATAATAAAGATAAAAATAAAGGAATTTAATTTTTTTAATTGAGATTTTAATGAAAGTTTATAGAGAACTTAGATTTCCTTTCATTCATTGTTGTACATTTTCCACTCTACC